GAAAAGAATATTCGGTCGCAACAAATTAAAATTTGTTGGGCGAGTGAAGGTTCATGCAAATGACAGTAATGAGTGAAGGCTTGCTTCTAAATTCAAAATATATTAAAATGGGTCACGAGGAGGGGGTTTCAAGCTTTTCACACACAACCACCTCTTGTAATTGTTTGCCATGAGTTAATCATTTGGCGGTTATCCATTTACGGTTCTGCGATGGTCTGAAATGTCAGTGCAGTATTTCATGTCAAGCCAACGTATAGTCTCCTTGTATATAATCGACATTTGCTTACTTGAGGTGCTTTGCTTCACTTGAGGTCGCATGAATTACAGACAAGGCGGCTCTGTAAACTTAAGAAGAGTATAGGGGCTCCTGTCTTTGGATTTTAGTGGACAATACTCACATTCTAGTAGTTTCTATACTGTTTACAGTCAGCATGATATTTCAGACGTCTCCTCGAGTCGCAAGAGGAGTTTGCGGGGAGACGACTAAAATTCAGGCTAGCTGATAACAGTTAGAAACTACCGCTGCGCTACCACTGCCTCTGCAACTATTCTGCTGCGAACGTGAATGTTTAATTTAATTATCCAAGTCCAAAGCGACGAGCCCCTAAGCTCTTCTTACGGTCGCAAAGCCGTAAATTGATAACCGTTAAACCGCATGGCAAACATTTACAAGAGGTGGCTGTGTGAGGAAAGCTTGATAACCCCCTCCTCGCGACCCATTTTAATATATTTTGAATTTAGAAGCAAGCCTTCACTCATTACTGACATTTGAATGGACCCTCACTCGCCCAAAAAATTCATTGCGACAAAATATTGTTCTCTCATACTCGGAGATGATACCAGTTTCTTTTTCTTTCTTTCTTTCTTTCTTTGTTTCTTTATTTTTCGTTTTTATGTTCTGTTATGTTATGTTATTTATTTTGTTATTATAATTTTTTGCAAAAATTGTTTTCTATCTATTGTTCTTTTTGTTATTATTATTATTATTTATTATTATTATTATTATTATTATTAATATTTTTATTTAATTAATTAATTATTTTTTAATAAAAAAATATTTTAATTTTTTCATGTTCCGGGATGTTCCGGGATGTCTCATGTTCCGGGTTTTTTCGACGCCCAAGCAAAACGGCGTACATGTAACAGTTTGTTTGGGTTGGAACTTCAGAACTCGTCCGCACTCGACTCTTAGAAAAAAAGAAGAAAAAATGTGTGGTTTTTCAAAAAACAGTAATCGAATCAACATTCGATTATGGAATCGAGGCTAAATATGAATATTGGATTGTTCATTTTATGAATGGATTATTGAATCAACAAACGAAATCATTTTTCCGTAAATGAATTTATTAGTTTGTTAGCGACGGGAACGCTTCACCTAGTTTGACTGTAATGGTCTACTATCAATTCTTCCTTCTGATTGTGTGAGCTACTACTAGGCTATGTGTTATAGCCCACTAGTAGCGAAAAGCGCCGGCTTTGAAATTAAAACGGTGGCTTTTAGTGTAGCTTTTACTTGCTAAAATGGCTTTGTCTCGATATTTTTCACCAACTAGTTGGATTTTACTAAAACAATTATATTTATGATTGGCCTCATGAGCTATTGACTCAGAGCCCATTCGGGCTCGAGGCATAATTGTTAAATAATAATTACGTTCAGTTGAACGAAATGTTACAAACAAAAGAGATAATGGCATATATTAATGTATTTTGTTTTAGCGATAAACAACCATATCGATACAACCTTGAGGCAGCTGTGTAGCCAGAACGTTGCAAGAAATTCAACAGTGTTGCTTATTTGTTTTCTTAGTGACAAGTGAGATTTGGAAAATAAAACCCAGAGTCGAATCAGAGTCTTTTAGAAATTTATTAGCTCCAGTTGTGATGGAGAAAATTCCTTCTGAGTTGAGGTTAATCATCAGTCGTAAGTTTGGCAGTAAAGAAACTTGGGACCTAGATGTGCTGTTAAATGCACTGAAATCTGAGTTCCAACCAATTCTAACCCTAGATGTGATCAGCATAAGGGAAGATTGAAACAGCTCCTTTTCTCATCTGCACTTTATGCAGGTAGTGAAGAGTGTACTATGCAATGTATCTTTTGCAAGAAAGATCGCACGTCCATCGCCTGTAGTACCATTACTGAACCAAAGGCTAGAAGAACTATACTGAGACGAAGTGGCAGGCAGGTAACTATTTTGTTTGCTTGAAAGCAAGGGTAGTACACCAGGTTGTCAATCGAAGGCCAAATGTTTTAACTGAAGAGCTGGTTTTTCACAGATAGTCACACATGATGTCTAAAGAAGCCAGTCCAACCTAGTGGTTCAGGAGCTGAATTAGCATCATTTATTAGATCCGAAACTTCCCAGGAGAGGTCCAGAGATGTTGGAACATCAACAATGCATATTGGCAGTAATTATAACTGTGTACTGTTGTAGACACCCCAAGCCTTTGCTTCTAGACCTGATTATCAGGAAACTGAAATGTATAGTAGAGTCATTTTTGACTCTTGTAGCCAGATCTTATGTAACCAGCAAGATAGGTTGGCAGTTAAACTTACCTACTGTTAGTGAGGAAAACTTGTTAATCAAAACATTTGGTGACACTCAGCATCTGTAAAGGAAGGTGACATTGTGCAATTGTGCATCAGAGCAATAGATGCAATGAGTGTGTACGTCACTTCTTACGTTGTACCAGTGATATACAGTCCAGTATTTTCAAGACGATTTGCAGATATTTTAGGACTTGAAAACCTTTAGTCGAGAAACACATAAGGAATACAAGCAGTTTGTGGAGAATCGCGTGAGCTAAATCAGACAAAATGCACCGCCTGAGCAATGGAGGTACTGTCCTACGTCAGAAAACCTGGCTGACACTGCATCAAGAGGAGTTAAAGCCACTGCAGTCAAAGAAATCCTATATTTTCCTTACGAAGGTCATAACAGTTACTTCCCTTGTGTTGCTATTTGTCTAAAAATTTAAAAGAAAGAAGGACGAATCAACTGATCAAGAAGAATCCTTCTAAGTGTACAAGCAAGCTGAGGATTAAACACGTTCTAAAGGGTATCCTGAACAGTGACAAGTACCAGCAAATAAAGTCGACCCTGGACAGTG